CTTAAAATCGTAGGAATTTCGTTAGGCTTAGGATAAATGAGTTTATTGTGGTAGATATTAATTTTAATATGTGTGTTATGAAAAATAAAAGATATGATTTCGTAAATTATAATAAATTCTAGTTTGTCAGATGGATTGGAAAAATCAGACATAGAAATTTCTTTTACATCAGGATGGAATATAATTAATTCATTTCGGAGAAAGTTTAACACCTTAAATAATTCTCTATAAGTACAAGAATCATAGTGATGAATTTTAGTAAACATATGGATATATAATTTATTATTAACCTTAGTATCCTTTAGTGAATATAGTTCTTTCTCGGAATTTATAAAAGATTCGTTATCGTCTAGGAGGTTAATAATTTCTTCACAGTAAGGATTAGATGAGTCTAGATCAATTGCTGTAAGTAGGATAAGCGATTGTAGAGCAGGGTGTTCTTAACAGATTTTGATTAAACTCACGGATTTCAGTACTATATACCATAGGATTAGAACGAGATCGAAGAAATTTGGCATATGTGATATCGTTAGTAAGATCTATATCATTGATCCAACTATAAAATTGAAATAATGTCCGTCTGTAAACGTGTGAGGTATGTTTCTATTCGTAAACTATACTGTGTGACAGACTCGTTCGATTTTTGTTTGCAACGTTGTAAGTCTAAAAGTAAGTGATCCCTATGTTTGGTTTCACCAAATGTGGATTTTAAAAATTGTTTCAACTCGGACCAGGTTTCAAAAATTTTAAGAGAGCAGGCGGACTCAGCCTTGCCTTCTAGTTGGGAAATTATGTATTTGAATAAGATACTTTGTTGCGACGCAGTAGCTAGGTTTAAAGCATTTTCGCAATTTCTAATAAATGGTGATAATTTATTCCTATCGCCATCGAATGTCTTAATAAATTTAGTGAGGATTGAAAAATTTAATTCCTCTATGCCTACAGTCTGCAAACTTGAACACGACTGAACGCTTTTCTTTTCAAGTTTACCACCTTCATTAACCATTTTAAAGAATTAATTTAATTAATTACGTGAAACGGAGTAGGAAATTAAGAGTATAATATAAGTATATTATAAAATATCCACACGTAAAATAATGCAAATGACAAAATATCGAATAAACAACACTCACAGTATTACTAGTAGATACAGCGATTTCATGGAAACAACGGCGGCTCGGTGACGTCGGTGTCGGGTGACGGTGCGGCGATGCGGCGGAAGTGATGAAATGTGCAGCGTTTGCGGTTGGTACGGGTCAACGCTCAAACCAAGTGTCGCGATGTATTTTGTGTAGAAATATTAGTTTTTTGTGCAGCCAATAACTCGGTGCTGGGCAGAAAACCCTCACGCACAATGGAGCGATGCTGACACGTTGTCTGCGATGACTAGGGTTGGCGGCGGCCTTTTAAAGCGTCAGGAAGACAGGCAGGGACAGCAGGTGGCCAACTTGCTAGTTCAGGATCGCGAGTCTGGACCGATTTCTGTGTGGAGCTAGTCGTCGTCAGGAGTAGGCGACCCGAGGGACTTCAGAAATCCTTTTTTATCTGACACCAAATGTTAGATTGTCCTATCCAGCACTTATAAAAAAAAACAGTACTGAAATTTCGACAACTATTTATTAATTAAAAGTTTTACTCATACACAAGTTCGGACACAGAATTTCTACTATTACATAAAACTTATACGCGACTTGGATTATAACAGCGCGATACCCCTGGCGAAGGGCAGAGTAGACCCGGAGTGTATTCTTAGCTTTCACTGATAGCCAGCCGGCAGGTAAGAACCAGGTCCGTAGCTGGGGAGCAATTAAGCTGAAGAATAACCAACTGGACGAATTTAGGAAAGTCTTGCGTATTTATAGCAAAATTATTGCTGATTTTTAATATTGTATTTGAATAAACCAGCAATAATTGCAAGTCAGCATTTTACTTTAACAAATAGTGATGTGACAGTGTAAATAGGGATGTAACAGTACGCACGAGCCACATCACGCACACAACGACACTTGTTAAGTCGGAAAGTGATACGTGTTAGCCCACACCCTCTACGCACGAGCCACAGCACGCCACAACGACACTTGTTAGAAAGTGATAGTTATCCACACTGAGCACGAATGCCGGTGACAGTTCGGACTCGTACGCCGAGCCACAGCACGCCACAACGACACTTGTTAAGTCGGAAAGTGATATGTGTTAGTGCCTAGCACGTGACAGTTCGGACTCGTACGCACGAGCCACAGCACGCACACAACGACACTTGTTAAGTCGGAAAGTGATATGTGTTAGTGCCTGGCAGGTGACAGTTCGGACTCGTACGCACCAGTCACAGCACGCACACAACGACACTTGTTAAGTTGGAAAGTGATATGTGTTAGTGCCCATCGCCGCGCTCTGCAATCACCTTTGTTTGAGACTTTGTAAAATTTTGCTAGCGGTCTTTTATGCGTTTGTTTAAGTAAATTTGCTTTTTATTAATAGATTATATTACTATATCTATACATAGATACATACCTCATAAGTACATTAATAATCATATCACATCAATTCAAATTAATTTTAAACTAAAAATAATATAATAAATATGAGCTGACACCATATGTTCAGTGTTAATTTACTCGTATTTTAGATATTTGGCACTTGTTGTTATGTAAAGCTGAAATTTTTTTTGACAAACATTGATTGTTTGAGAGGAAACTAAAGAAATTATTAACAAATACGATGCATAGGTCTGTATCCCTATGTATTGAGTTTGTAAATATTATAACTACTTATAAAACTACATGAGACTTAGCTGTCAACTAAAAAGACAGTGACAACCCTGCAACGGTAGTCTAACACGGCGTGAGAAAAATCCTACTATTCTGTTTTTACTGTGGTCGTAGTATGACAGAAAATAATAATATTTTATTAGCATTAAACATAGTAAAAGAAAGTGTTTACAACACTTCATAGATCGACATCTTTTGCCATGTTTACACATAGCATGCAAATTTTTTATACATTAAAATTTATGGCTATCAAATTCCTTCATGCTATGCGGCAACTACGGGTCAGCGCACACCAAGGGCAGAGCAGAGCATTTTCTGAGAACACTAAAATATTAATTTTATAACTTTTGTCAGTTGTTGCTCGATCATGCTCGAGCTTGCAGGATGCATGTTCGAGCATGCGCGAGCGCGCTCGTATCGCTGCCACCCGCGCTCAGTATTGCCGCAGCGAAAAAACTGTTTGGACGTGTGTTTAGTTTGTACCTATAACCTATCACTCACTGCGCCCGCCATAACAAAAAACAGCTATGTACCGAGGCGTCCGTCGTCACCTCAGCTAGCGGCACTTGTTTTAAATATTTATGTTTCTCACGACCTTTCATTTATGTTTAAAGAGGTTTTAGTTACAGTTATTTAAAGCCGATAAGATTTTCAATAAGTAGAAACAATAACCATAACATATAAATGTTTATTTTATTTTGTACAGCTCTTTGTTTCTAACGGATCTTGATAAAGTGTACTTACTGACGATAAATTTTATTTTATGAATGAAATATCGTAAGTTTTATTTTATTTTTATGTCCTTACAATCAATACAACATATTCTTCCTAAATGAACCGAAATTATGCATGTAATAATTATAATAATTCTACTTTTTCACTTGCAAACATTTGCTAAAAATTCGACAATAGACAGTTTGCGCGCGCTTACTAAACTCATTTTCAAAACCTTTTTTGTGTATATATTGTCTTCCTTTATTTTTCTTATACAATCATATAGATATAACATTTAGCAATTATTAGTAAAAGTATTTACTATGGTATTCCAATAAGGAAATATACTATTATTATCTTATTAGAAATCTTGACCGTTACGTATTGTTCGCGTAGAGGTTTTTTATTTCTACTTTTTTATCAATTGAAACATAAAAAGTTATTGTTGTTGTAAATTAAATCATTCAAAAACATTACGTAGTAAAGATAAATAACATTACTTACAGTTTTTTTGAAAGAAAATCCAACTAAAATCACAATCACAAAACTTCAACGATTACGCAACCAACCGCACCGGCACGCAAAAGCGAATGGCTGTTATATTTGATGATGTCTATGTAACCGAGTGAATATAATGCTAGAATATTCTTTAGTTCGTTTAGAATCGAATGAAATAGTGTTCAATCGAAAATATACTGTATTTTTATATCAATTAATGACGAAAATAGCAGCACGTAATGCGGACATGTATACATGTCCTCTGTACTTAGCGGTCACAAAACTTGGACCTGTCAACATGTCCACGGGATCTTAGGGGATAAGCGCGTCACATAAGTCGGAATCATGGACGAAGAAAATTTGATAAGTTTGGTGCAGCGTTTTGAGTGTCTTTACAATATATCAAGTCCAACATACAGCGATCGTATGTTAAAATCCAATGCTTGGGAAAGAATCTCCACGTTTCTTCTGCCCATACTGTTCTTCTAATTTTCTGACGTCTGATTTCATTAATATGTTCTTCATGTTCTTCTTCCTCTACCAAAAGGTCGATAATCACCAAGTCTCAATTCATATTGAACTCGTCTATCAATGTCGGATTTTGGCATCAAATTGGTCATGCACGCCCCCCTAGCAACCCAGAGCACTTTCAATAAATCTTGCTCACGGAGGCGCGCGGATGCCGCCTGCGTGGTCGAGTAGTCAAAATTCTGCTCAAGCATGCGCGAGCATTTTGTGGTTCGGTCTGCGCTTACCCTATGGCGACGCTGTCGTCGTGTTTAAATTACGCGGCCTTTCCACAGGTAGCATTATCCGCTCCCCGGGTATGGTAGAGCAACGTTACTATCGTGAAGTAAGGCAGTTGTCAGCGCTGTTAAGCTTGCTATTTATCCACCATTGTGAAATAAATGTTTGTACTTATTTCACGTTTATACTGTGTTAAATAAATAACAAAGGTTTTCATAGTTCTAACAATGTTTTGTTTTGATTAATTTGCCCTAATAGTATATTTGTTCGTAGGACATCGCTGCCGCAGTGGAGCACGCTGGAAACATTCTACGAAGGTTACGATAAAATGAGTCTTCTGGTGCAGGACCTAGTCGTGTCTTTCGGAGAGCCGGGCGACGGTTTCTACAAGCAACACAATTACACGGCTTGGTAAGATTTTTTTTTAGATTTACGTCATAATTAGCTCACATGTAAGTCCTAGACACTACTGCTAGTTTATTATTGCCACCAAATAGCAGTGTCTTCTAGCCCAGTTCTGTGTTCCAGCTGAAGGGTATAGGGAGACAGTAAATACAGGTTGTGAGGCATTCCGTATCAGTCCTTGGAGTTGTTGCCTTTTTTCTTTTAATTTAGCTCCATGGGTATGTGAACTACTTAAAGTAAAATCCATTCTAGTAAGAATTTAATTGAGTATTTTATATATCCTATTTCAAGAAGTATCCATTCTTGAGTATCCAATCTCGTCTCTAAAATACGATGATTTGGCCAACTTAGCATTAGTGGGCGCGCGCGTGTGTGTGTGTGTGTGTGTGTGTGTGTCTGTGTGTGTAGATTGATCCATTTATATATATATATATATATATATATATATATATATATATATAGATTCATTTCATCTTGAACCATTTTTTCTTTGTTATTCATTTAGACATATCCGTAGTTTGGTTTATCCATTTCTAATCTAATTAGTATAAAATATATCCTATATTTCAGAAATAAACATTAATCTATTCACTTTTCTAACAAAGTAACTTATCTCTATATGTAAAATATTAAACCTCATTTCTAAGTGGAGCTGCCGTGGTGGGGGAAGTTGTGAATGTGAACGTGAGTGCCTGTGAAAACGTGCGCGATTGCGTGTGCACTTAAATATTTTGTCTAATTGATGGACCGCCCTTGTCACTTCCTATAGTCAACCAAATCTAAGAAAAACATTTTGACAGCTGTCAGACTTATTGCACCAAGCATGCCAACCAAAAATTGGGAACGTACGATATTCGATTCTTAAATTTGATTAGAATAATACTAGAATAAATTAGAAACGGATAATTTAAAACACAAGATTTATCAGTTTCTTCGTATTTGTTGTTACTGCTTATTTCCAATCTTAAACTTTTATAACTATTACAGCCCTATTAATAAACACAGACTTGAGCAAGATTAACTTTACTCCTAGTTTAAAGCTTATTTCAGTATTAATAAACATAGAGTAAGGAAGGAGTAAACTAATTCGAATCTACTCTCGGAATAAAAGTTAATCCTTGGCGGTACCTAGTTTAACGACTGAGTAAGCATAGACTAGTCGCGTATTTTGACATTTTGTAAAACTTTACGTTTAAATTCATAAGTTGTAAGCACTAGTAACAAAAACAGCACAGCGCAGATTTATACAAGTGATTGGGGCTATTGATAGCCACATATTCGAATCCCGAAAGTCGCTGGAAACATCGGACAATACTACATAAACAGCAAAGGATACAGTTGGATAAATGTATAAGTAAGTTTTACAGCACCTAGCTAGCCCATCTTTGTCATATATGTACTTAGTTATTTTTTTAGATTCAATACAATCACCTCAATCTATTATTTCATATTAAAGAAGTTATGAGTGCTTTGTTCCAGGTTGTGTCAAATGCAAATTTAGAGATCATGGATATAGTGGCACATTGGCAAGGCAGCACAAATGACTCAACAATATTTAAAGAAAGTCTCATTAAACAAATGTTTGAGCATTCAGAATTTAAAGGCAGGCTTTTCGGAGATTTTGGTTACGCTTGTACTCTTATTCACTCCTTTCCTGCGTCCTAATAAACAAAAGAAAGAAATGTACAACCGGTCGCACATCTGGGTCCGTAACACTGTAGAACAATGCTTTGGAGGGAAGCAAAGGTTTCGGTGTTTACTGCGAGGACTAAATACTAAATAAGAGCATACAAAACTGTATTCATTGCAATGCAAAAGCAAGATCTGCTTGAGGATGTAGTATAAGGAGATGATGAAAGAATGTCAGTCAAACACTTAGTAAATAACTCCGTTAGAGGAAATTCTGTTCGGGCAGCATTTATTAACGATTTTTTTTTAAATAAATATACAATAATTACATGTACAAAAGATTTTATTTATCCCCAAAAAACAAAACAAAAATGGTTATTTAATTAATTTTGCCCTTCACGCTCTTTTCCTAATTCTAAAATTGCCTTACAGATAATATTAAAAATGATTATATTTAGAACTTAGTTTTTCCACCGAGTCCGAAAACAACACGAGGAACAAGGAACAACACGTAACACTTATCTCTTGTCAATCTCAAAATATTGCCTGTCACGAATGTCATCATCAAGCATTGAATTCATTCACTAATCAATCACTGACTCACTCTTTACTAAAATAAGTGGGTTGCAATAGAGCAAGCCTTAATCCCGGCGTAAGGAATGTATTGTTAGTCCGAGGTTACTCCATGTTTATTAATAACGTTGTAATAACGAAGTAAATAGTCAGTTACTCTGAGATTAGCTAGTCCAAGTGTAACTTCGAATTAAACTTGGAATAAACAATTTTTATTAATAAGGCAGTAAAAGTTTAAGATTGGAACTAGATTAAAAATAAATTTATTCTATCACTTCCAGTACAACTAGTTGAGCTGTCGTTTATATTAATTATTATTTGATTTTCAATAATGCAGTCAAAAATAATGTCTCTTTCAAAGTCATCCATAATTATTTTTTTTGTTTTTTTTACCACTTTTTTTCCAATCATCCTTTGTGTCATAGTCATATGCTGCAACTAATATAGAAGAAACCGTCCAAAAAGTTAAAGCCGAGTCACAAAATAAGAAGACAAACAAAATCACAAAATTACGCATTTACTATGCGTAATTTTGCTCCCGAAATGGCGGGAGATTGAAATTACGTAGTGGTTTTTTCAGCGCGACCTTGTATATGAGTTTTTTTTGCCTACACAAATTTACGTTAACAAAGTAAAATAAAACTTGTTTTATTCATGATTAATGTAATTTAAAGAATTTAAAAAATAAAAATTTAATTAAACAAGTAATACATTATAAAAGTTATGATTCGATTGTTTGAATATTTTTACCGATTATTTGAATATTTTTGTCGATTATTCGCATAATAATGAATTTTAATCATCCAAACACTACGGTAAGGTACATAGCGACATATTGTTACGAGCTTGAGGTTCGTGACAATAAAAATTGCCGATAAAATTACCTAAATTAACACTTTAATTTACTTTACACAAATTAAAACTAAAAACACTAATAATTAAACACACTAATTCACTTAATTCCGTTCCGACGCTTCGCTTGTTTCGCCAAATCAACACTACCACCATCGCATCTTGCAGCGCCTATATATTTAAATTAGCAAAGAAATATCCAGAATGTTCAAGTAAACACGCGCAAGGTACCGAGCGTTCGAGTTTCGACTAGGCGCTGTCGGTTGAGTGATTTGTGATGTCATTTTCTCAATGCTCCCCTCGCTCTCGTTCCTGACACTAGATGGCGCTAGTGTATCGTTGACTGGAGCGCGTAACACTGCCCCCTCCTAAGACATGCTCGTCCCGAGCATTATCGGCCCCATAATAACGCGCCAAGCGATTCACATGGACGATCTTAGGAGTCCCTCTTGCGCCTTTCTGTAACGGCTCCGCAATGTCAAGGGCTGTCCTATCCCGTGGTGCACCAACATTGTACAATTTCGGTGCTCCTCTACTACGTGTCCGAGGTCCCCGCTCGGCCGCACAACTTGTACATGTACGACACCAATCCTCGACATCGTCACGATAATGGACCCAGTAAAACTGTTCTCGGACCTTCAGTAGAGTTCGTTTAACTCCCAGATGGACTCTTGAACGACCATTATGGCACAACTGTAGAACATTTGGCACTTTAGCTTTAGGGACAACCATTTGCAAACGACAGCTGTCTCTTCGACCATTGTCCCATTTACGGCACAGGACTCCATCCTGAATCAGCAAGCTGTCCCATTGGGCCCATAGCTTTTCGTGGTTGAACTCATCGCTGAGACGTCCCTCCACTTAGGCTTGGTAGCACGGGCCTTCATCCATCCCAGAATCGGCTTGATGTCCGGATCTTCCTGCTGTGCATGTCGTAGGTTGTCCTTCCACCCGTTGCTGAGGTGGTCTGTCCTGAGCATCCTCACGGATACCACCTCCTTACTCTCTTGCCTACTACAATGGTTGCAATCTTCAGGACAAGGTCTTTTTGACAATGCGTCTGCGTTGCCGTGAGATTTCCCGCTGCAGTGTCTGATAGTAAAGTCGTATTCCTGCTGCTGCTGGGCGGTGCTGTTAGCCGCACTTCCGTTCTGAGACCGTTCACCTTCCCTTCGTAGGGTGTGCTTAGGGTAGCTGAACCGAAGATGGCCCCTTTCCCCACAGCCATAGCACCTAGGGCTGTATCTTTTATTGTGGTCGCGAACCGTAACTGCTGTAACCTCCCTAGCGTGAGGTGAACGATGATCCTGTCGCCGTCAGGCAGGGTCGTTAGCTGCACTACCCTCTCGAGATCGATCAACTCTCCTTTCCACGGTTCGCTTAGGGCAGCTGATTCGAAGATGGCCTTTTTCCCCACAGCCATAGCACCTAGGGCTGTATCCTTTGTTGCGGTCGCGAACTGTAGCTGCCGCAACCTCCCTGACGCGATGGGAACGATGATCCTGCCGCACGGCTTCCACTTCCAGTGCATGGGCCAAGGCGTTCTTAAGCGTCTCGTGGTGCCCGAGCCTCACAGCAGCTCTGACTTCCAGGTCGCGGATGCCGTCGATGAATGTCTGCACCAGGTTCCCTTCAATGAGCGCAGGTACAGACCGGTATGCTTTCCGCACCAGCTTCTCCACTTCTAGAGCCCACTGCTGCAGGTTTTCGTTGATGCGCTGCACACGATCTTTAAGCTGCGCACGAAAGACGTGTTCCAGGTGAGCGTCGCCATATCTCGCCTCCAATGCCTCAAGGAGTTGCTCATAAGTCACTTCCTCACCGAGAGCTTCCAGAACTGTTAAGGCCTGGTCGCGCAGGCCTAGTGTGAGAGCAGTCATTGCCTGACTGTTATTCCAGCCGTTCGCCTTCATAACAGCTTCGAACTGGATTTTGTAGGCTGACCAGGAAGAAGTCCCGTCGAATGGTGGCACCTTGAACCCACGTAGCGAAGGTGTAGTAGTTACTACGGGAGCTGTAGTTCCCTCCCCAAGTTTGAGTTCGTCAAGTGATTTCCTCATGTCAGCCATTACGTTGTCAACCCGATTGTTCACTTGGTCAATTCGGGTTTCAGCTTCCGACAGGCGGTTTTCATGTTGAGCAACCTTATCCTTCACCTCCCTTATCTCTTTCCCGAAGGTAGCGTGAAGGTCCTTCATGAGAACATCTGTTCCTCCTGTCGGCGGGCCTGTTCTGCCTGTCCGCTCTGCAGCTGCTCTTTCAACTGACGGACCTGTTCCTCCTGTCGGCGAGCCTGTTCTTCCTGCTGCTCTTTCAACAGACGGGCGTGTTCCTCTCGTCCGCGCTGCAGCTGCTCCTGTAGCATCGCCATCAGAGCACCTAAATCAGGTGCTGCAGATGCAGGAGCTACTGACGAACCGGCCTCCGTTGCCGGCGGCTGGCCTTCCGACGTCTGCGGCGTTGCACCACCAAATCGTCTCTGGTCCGTCTCATGCTGGCGTTGACTGCGGGTACGAACACCCTCCGTTTCCTCCTTAGGTAAAATCGGCATGATTTTATCCCACTTCTGACACCAATTGTTACGAGCTTGAGGTTCGTGACAATAAAAATTGCCGATAAAATTACCTAAATTAACACTTTAATTTACTTTACACAAATTAAAACTAAAAACACTAATAATTAAACACACTAATTCACTTAATTCCGTTCCGACGCTTCGCTTGTTTCGCCAAATCAACACTACCACCATCGCATCTTGCAGCGCCTATATATTTAAATTAGCAAAGAAATATCCAGAATGTTCAAGTAAACACGCGCAAGGTACCGAGCGTTCGAGTTTCGACTAGGCGCTGTCGGTTGAGTGATTTGTGATGTCATTTTCTCAATGCTCCCCTCGCTCTCGTTCCTGACACTAGATGGCGCTAGTGTATCGTTGACTGGAGCGCGTAACAATATCATTGAAACGACGTCAAGTAAAACACTTAATACTGGTTTTTTTTTTAATATTTTGCTTTGTTTGAAAGATTCGAATTTAATGTAGTGATAAAAATGTACAAGTTGTAGTTAAATGTAGATAACATCATAATTCTTCGGATTTACGTAAAAGGTTTTTTTCAATCGTGTGAGTACGCTTGTGCAAAGTTATTGCGAATTGATTAATGTGAAACGTCAAAAGGTATTTTTTAGATTTGGTGGACTATAAGTGTCATCAATATTGAACAAATTGTATGACGCTAGCGGGGACGATTTCGTCGGTTCACAGGTCGTACACGTTGGGGTACGGGTGGCCGCCTGCGCCGAGCCTGTCGCTGATGGGGGTTATGATAATATCGCTGGGCATAACCGTGCTCATGGCGCTGTTGGGGGCGGGATGCGTGATGTTCGTGATGCGGTGCTGGTGTCGCAAAACCACCAGCCCCTCCCACCCCTCCCACCTCACCGACGAGGACTCTCTGGAGCGCAGGTGCAACGGCTTCCGCACCATCTGACTCCGCTCTCGAACGCGCTGCACAATTTTCGAAACCGTGAGGGCTAACAGCCACCCTAACATTATACACGAACGTGGTTTTGCCATCTTCATTATACTTTCGACAACTAACAGTAATATAGAAATATAATTACGTTAGGTTGAGTATCTATTGATTGAGTAATCTTTTCGACTCTAAAGCTCCCAGCAGAATGAATCTACTCCCTGCAGTTTCGTACTTAGTATTCGATATTCTGTGTTATACAGGGTAGCAGCAAAATAAAGGAATTCTTGAATTTTTAAATATACATATAAAAAGAATCTAGTTTATGCATGTAATAAAATATCTGGTTATTTTTATGTATATACTAGTGACCTTTTTTTACCGTCTAGAAAAGAAAAAAAGTTATTGTGTTTATTTTTTGTAAAATATCAAAGGCTTCTACTCCATTCACATGTTACACTATTTTTTTCCAGAAGGTAAAAAAGTCATCCCAGTATAACAGGTGTTTTCATCTTTCTATAGACAATTACTATCTAAATAAAATTTAGAATAAAAAACATTTTAATGGGGCTTTACACTTACTGGATTTTGATATGTGACAACTGAAATGCTTCTAGTGAACATAATCGCATAACAAACTCCTTCGCGCGGTATGATAAGTACACAAACACTCACATTTTATCCGCGCATAGCTCAATGCAATTGTGTAGTGAAAATGACAAAACCTTGAATCAAATTAACTATGTTTACATCATTATTATGAAATGCTACAGGAATAACAAACAAATACATTAAAAAATGCTTTGAATGTATTCCAATATGAATAATGAAATTAATGTTGTAATTAAATGTTTAGTGATGTGCATTCATGTCTTCAGGGTTAAACCCGAAAATTTTAACGGTTTTTAAAATATGACGAATCTTTTATTCTATATAACTCTAAAAGCGTAGCTACTTTTTTTGCATTATGAAAATTGATGTAGGATGTAAATTTATAAATGACATTGAATTAATGTGACATGACATTTAAATTTAAAAATAATTATTGAACTTCCATAGTGTTCTTGTCTTTTAAGCCAAAATTTTATTAACTTTGATATTAATACGATTTTATTCCAATGTTGTTATTTCATTGTTAGGATTGTAAAATTAACTACATTTCCTAAGGCATTATAAACTATAAGTATGAAAATAAGCTTTAAGTCAATCCTTAACGATATATTTGTGAATTATATAACCATATATTTTAATCTAAATAAGCGTGGTTTCTTTTAAATTTTTTTTTTTGCTAAATATAATTTTTTTAAAAAAAATAAAATAATAACATTATATTGTAATTATTAATATTGCTCAATTGCATTTCAAGCAGCAAGTAACTATGTGTGCCAAGATACTTCTGTTAAGAAAATGTTATTTGCTATTCTCTATCTTCATATGCCGCATCCTCCCAAAAACGAGGACCATGCACAGTAGTGGATGGTTTCGGACCGATGAAGAAATGATATACAATATATATACACCATAGTCTAAGATCAGTTCTTTTATTCTGATGCATAAGTTACAAAACCCATTGAAGAAATTAACTTATTATAAAATTGGTACAAAAACAATTTTTTTTAAATAAGTAAGGCCAGTGCGATTGTGTAACGCTGGTGGGAATCATGGTTGTCTTCGTTTTGACGTTTGGTTCCATTGAATTGTGTAAATGTATCATCAGTATTGATAACAAGCAGATATTTTTTATATATATTATAATATATGATAAAATTTAGTAACTTAAAAATATAAGACCCTTTTTTCTGAAAATGAGGCATTCCATCTTAACCCTCGGGGGTGGCAACGTATATGCATTTTGATTCAGAATTGGGGACAAAAGTAGATATTGGGTCATACAATCCACTTACCATTAGATGCACTGTGTGCTCTTTTGTCACACTTGTTATATTTAAAAAAAAGATTATTTTAAGGTTACTAAATATTATCATAACGAGAGAAACATATCGCAGTCATTAACTGAATTGCAAAATTGTGTAGACTATGTCGTGAGACTCAAACTGAAAGAATTTCGCTACCGACTAATATTTTAAAAACAGTATTTAATAAATTTAATATATTGAGCAAAAAGAATTTTTAAAAGTTATACTATATACAATGTCTTCTATGACTCGCGTATCTATAATTGTTGCTGGTTTAAAATGAAGTTCGGTTTAATTTGGCATATCACACTATTTATGACTTTACAGGGTTTTCTGGGAGTGAATACCTAAAGACATTAACTCCGCCCATTGTAATTATTTTATTATAAAATGATGTTTAAATTTATTATAGTTAAAATAAACGAGTAATATCTTAGATGCAAAATTGTGATATCACTATTGCATGTAATATATTATTTTAAGAATAGACTGGTATCGTAGTCATTGCCATTTATTTTTATAAGACAGATCTTTAACCTTAATTATTTTATTTAAAATTTTGCTTTTTAAATGTATTCTACCAATTCAAATGATAAACCAGTTATCACTTAGATACGTATAAGTACTCCTTCAATGATAATAATAACTAAGCATTTAGATATAACTTTTACAATCTTCTACAATTAATAAAAATATATTATAATGTGTAAAACTATTTGTGGATTGATCGTATAAAAACCACTTCTTGACAGCAAATATTTTTAAATTGACTTAAATTTCGTCATTGTATTTAAATTTTGTTTGTATGCGCGTAATCGATTTAGTTCCTATAAGAAAATAATCTAAAAGCGAGAGGAAAATCATTAACTTTTTTCGTTTTAAATCGTCACAACTCAAAAAGAATCGGAATTTTATTTTCGAGTTAATTTGTGATGAATTAATTTTTTATTTTTGATCTGTATAATACATAAACGTGTATAAAGTTTTAGACCAATTTGTACATATTATTTTTTTAAGATTTTGTTTATTTATGTAACATTTAGTTATTAATTCCAGATGTGATATTAATTTGAACTTCCAAATATAAATGTATATGAAAAATATTTAATTAAAAGTTTATTAAGCTGTGGTTTTTATTTTTAATAGTCTACAAGGCTTCTTTTCTATTGTGTACCGGTTTTAGTGTTTAGTATTTAGTTTTAAGAGTCAGTACAATTATAGACCATGTAGTGTACTATTTTACTCCTCAGGGGTGCCAAAAAATCTGTAATCTTCTTTGTTTTAATTTAGGTGCTGGTGTGCATGGATTAGAAGCCACCAGCAGGTGAACTGCTGCTGGCTTTTCATTTTTATGTTACTTCCGAAGAAGCAGGGGCTTTGATAGGCTGTTGTGTTGTCACCTCTGATGGCCAAGATGAATGCCTCACAGCCTTTAATTTTTTTTAAAGGATACGAGTGACAAACGAACACAGTCCACCTGAGGGTAATTGAATGCTGTGGCCCATAGACATTTTAATTTACTCTTACTTAGATTCAAAATGCAGATGTGTTGTCATCCCAGAGGACTGAGATCGAATAACCCGCTTCCAGTACGAAGGATATCCGGTTCTCTCATTAAGCTGCTATTTTACGCTGGTATTCTGTGAGAGCGTGGTCCTACCCCGGTCGATCCGACCCATTCGTGGTATAACCATAATTCCATTAAACCACATTCCGTACAAAACAAAAAAAAAAACTACCCCGCAACAAAATGATTTGTATTCGACCCCCCCCCCACACCAACCCCCCCCCCCACCCACCCCCCCCCCCCCCACCCCCCCCACCCCCCACCAAAACAACCAAAAACAAAAAATTCATTAATGATTCCATGACTAAAAAAATCCTGCATTAATCTCTCCATGCTCGATCGCGGGGTGTCAAAAGATTTTGGAACTTATTTTAAAGCTTTTAGAACTGACATTCCTTTATTTCAACACGAATAGACCGAAATATTTCGCGTGACACCGCGGAATGCTGATGCACGCTACGTCATTCCCCGGAATGCTGCGGTACGTCACGGCATTCCATATGGTGCCGGAGCACACTCCTGCATCACGTAAAACGCACTAGAATACTTTATGTTGTTAAAGGAATGTGAGTGCTAGCTAAGTCATTGAAACAAGGTTGAATCTGGCCCGTTGTGGCGGTGATCTCAGTGAGCCCGGACGCGGATTGCCACAGGATCCTTTGGCATGCCTCGAGATGCCCCAGGATTCTTCGGCATAACGCGAGATGCCATAGGATCGTTCGGCATGCCGAAATGTGCCTTGCCCCGCCGTGCCGTCTCTGAGCAGACCCTAAGTCATCTCTGGCAATAGCCATTGGACGTCGTGTACACGAATATGGTGCCAGAAGTAGTATCACAAAAGCTTAGGGTCTGGTAACCGATCGGCCACCTGTCAGACATAAGTGACGACATGTTCGCCGTCAACAGTGGATTGTGATGGTAATAATGTCTCCTCAGACCATATTAATGTCCTCTAGACAGAAATTCTCACGAATCATCCTTGGATGAAATCGGTGTTTTTTAGCGAGGATTTGTGAACTATCAAATCTCATGCAGTATCCTGTATGTGTTCACTAACTACAAATTTCCCGAAGCTGCACCGGACTGCAGTCTATGAACAAGTACAAGATCACCCCCGTTATTACATCAGATTTACGAGACTACAAATCCTCGTTATAGAACACCGATTTCAACCAAGGATGATTCGTTAGGCTATTGAAAATCAAAAAACATCCTAATTTCAATAGAGAAGATGGGCGGGTGCTATTATCTGCTTGGGATCCTATAATTAATCTGCAAGACTTTAAGTTCATACTATGTCGATCGGACCAATAATTAAAGTTTTATCTGGAGGTAGCCGTCGTTACCTATGACATTGGGACGTTTATCACCTTAGTGACTATTGTAAAGTGACTCTGTTGAAGTAGAGAGTCTGAAGACTGTTGTAAAGTGCTCGAAACGTCGTGAATATAAAACAAAATAAAATCCATTAAAACTAGTTCACTATAAATGTGTGGTATTCGCGTAAACATAAATCATTAAGTGACTATGTTTAA